AGTAGATATTAAGAAATCCGCTAAAGAATATATAAACTATTAAATATCTTAAAGGTCCTAAAAAGACTTAGAAAGAAAAGTAGTTTAATATATAATAATAAATAGTATCCGGCTATTTAAAAAATAAAGAATCGACCTAATCGGACCCCTTTTAGCTACACTAAATAGAAATCGGTAGATTATTATAGTAATCAACTATACCAGCTACCCGTAAGCGACCACTAGGGGTGGATACGCATACGGGTGATATTTTGCTGAGCTTAGCAGAAGCAAAAGGATTTAGCTTTTAAGAAGGCTTAAGAAGATACCTATAGCTAGGTCTATATAGGGATATAGGCGATAAAGAGTAGTAGGGGAATTTAACCTCCTCCCACCCCCCACCCCCTAAGGGGGTGGGGGGTAGGGGAGGAATTATAATACTTGACTAAGATATTAGTCCTAGAGAGAGAGTATTAGCTATATAGGTAGCTGCTAAGCTAGCTAGTAGCTAGATTAGTAGCTAGTAGCTAGATTAGGAGCTAGGAGCTAGGTTAGGAGCTAGGAGCTAGGTTAGGAGCTAGGAGCTAGGTTAGTAGCTAGGAGCTAGGTTAGTAGCTAGGAGCTAGGTTAGTAGCTAGGAGCTAGGTTAGTAGCTAGGAGCTAGGTTAGTAGCTAGGAGCTAGGTTAGTAGCTAGGAGCTAGGTTAGTAGGTAGCTTAGTAGCTAGCTTAGTAGTAGGTAGCTTAGTAGGTAGCTTAGTAGCTAGCTTAGTAGGTAGCTTAGTAGCTAGCTTAGCAGCTGGTTTAGTAGCTAGCTTAGTAGGTAGTTTATAGCTAGCTTAGTATCTAGTAGGTAGTTTACTATCTAGGCTACTATCTAGCTTAGCAGCTAGTTTAGTAGCTAGCTTAGTATCTAGTAGGTAGTTTACTATCTAGGATACTATCTAGCTTAGCAGCTAGCTTAGCAGCTAGTTTAGTAGCTAGTTTAGTAGGTAGTTTAGTAGGTAGTTTACTATCTAGGCTACTATCTAGCTTAGTAGCTAGTTTAGTAGCTAGCTTAGTAGGTAGTTTATAGCTAGCTTAGTATCTAGTAGGTAGTTTACTATCTAGGCTACTATCTAGCTTAGTAGCTAGCTTAGTAGCTAGCTAGGCTACTATCTAGATTAGTAGCTAGCTTAGTAGCTAGCTAGGCTACTATCTAGATTAGTAGCTAGTTTAGCAGCTAGTTTAGCAGCTAGTTTAGTAGCTAGCTTAGTAGGTAGTTTACTATCTAGGCTACTATCTAGCTTAGCAGCTAGTTTAGTAGCTAGTTTAGTAGCTAGGTTAGCAGCTAGGTTAGCAGCTAGCTTAGTAGCTAGCTTAGTAGGTAGCTTAGTAGCTAGCTTAGCAGCTGGTTTAGTAGCTAGCTTAGTAGGTAGTTTATAGCTAGCTTAGTATCTAGTAGGTAGTTTACTATCTAGGCTACTATCTAGCTTAGTAGCTAGCTAGGCTACTATCTAGATTAGTAGCTAGTTTAGCAGCTAGGTTAGCAGCTAGGTTAGTAGCTAGCTTAGTAGCTAGATTACCCGCCTAATTAATAGCTAGTTAGTAGGTAGTTTAGTAGGTAGTTTAGTAGCTAGCTTAGTAGGTAGTTTACTATCTAGGCTACTATCTAGCTTAGTAGCTAGTTTAGTAGCTAGCTTAGTAGGTAGTTTATAGCTAGCTTAGTATCTAGTAGGTAGTTTACTATCTAGGCTACTATCTAGCTTAGTAGCTAGTTTAGCAGCTAGGTTAGCAGCTAGGTTAGCAGCTAGCTTAGTAGCTAGATTACCCGCCTAATTAATAGCTAGTTAGTAGGTAGTTTAGTAGGTAGTTTAGTAGCTAGCTTAGTATCTAGTAGGTAGTTTACTATCTAGGCTACTATCTAGCTTAGTAGCTAGCTAGGCTACTATCTAGATTAGTAGCTAGTTTAGCAGCTAGTTTAGCAGCTAGATTACCCGCTTAATTAATAGCTAGTTAGTAGGTAGATTAGTAGTTTAGTTAGCTTACTATCTAGATTAGAGGGTTAGATTACTATCTAGACTATTATATAGCTAAGGTAGTCTATAATCTAATCTAATCTAGATTCTAGATCGAGTATCTAATCTAAATAATCTACTAATCGATCTAATCTAATCTAATCTAGATTCTAATCTAATCAATCTAATCTAGATTCTAATCTAATCGATCTACTAATCGGTAGTCTAATTAAAGTAATTTATGTTTATTTTAGTCGGAGCCGGGTTCAAATACGCGACCTTTAAGATATATATCGTATTTAACCACTACGCTATATACCTAGTTTTTTCTATATTTATCCTATACTTACCTATAACCGTACTCTTTAGTTAGTAGAACCCTTATACTATTACCGGATTATATAGCGGTATAAGCGCTTACTAATACTTATAGTAGCTAGGGTTTAAACCCTCTTTTAATTAAGAGGTAATACCTAAGTATCTTATCTAGGCCTACTTTTATACCGTTCTATATATATATATATATATATATAATTCGCTTAGTAAAGTTAAATTAAATTAAATACGTAACCTTAGAATTATATCGTAATCACGTGATCGCCGCCTAATCCGGCGTAGATTAGATATATCCCGGGATTACGTGATATAGCTAGTTAGTGCCTTAGGCTATTAGTTATATAGTGATTACGTGATCGCTATCTAATCCGGCGTAGATTAGATATATTACGTAATATATCACGTGATTATAGGGTGCTTACGTGATCGCCGCCTAATCCGGCGTAGATCGGTATATATCACGTGATTATAGGGTGCTTACGTGATCGCCGCCTAATCCGGCGTAGATCGGTATATATCACGTGATTATAGGGTGCTCACGTGATCGCCGCCTAATCCTAAGTGGATCGGTGTATTTCACGTGATCTATATATATATCACGTGCTTTATCAGGCACCAAGGTGTCTATATCTCAAAGTCGAATCACGTGATGTAACCCTACCCTGATCACATGAGGAGTGAATTCTACAGCCAATCAGAGGCCAGGATCTCAGAATTCGCAAGACGGAATTTTAGGCATAGTCTGTTGGGTACCTTTTCTGTAAATTTGCTTCGCTGCGCTCAGCAAAATAAGTAGATACTATAAATTTTTAAAGGATAAATTCCTATATTTAATTAGTGAAATTAGATAAAAAATCTTCCGGCTATATATAATTAAGCTTAGGTTTAGATTAATAGGCCTTTAGCCTATTAATCCTAAGCTAATTACCGATAAATTAGATTTATATAATCTATATTATAATAATCTACTACGGCCGGAGACCCTTTTAATATACTCTTAAAATACCGAATTTAGTACCCTAAAAACCGCTAAAAAATTCCGGAAAATTAGCTATTATATTAATCGATATAATACTAATATCTAGCGGTTTAAAGACGGGCTAGTAAAGCTTATAAAGGGAGGGGAGGAGTAGGCAACTTTAGCCTCCTAGCTATAGCGGGAGTTCGATGATATAAAGGCTATTATAGGGGTACGCTATACTAGATATAATAATTCCCGTCGTTATATCTAGATTACCGGCATTATTAACTCCGGCTAAGTTAAAAAAATGAAGTATAAAGAATATAAATTGACGGAGAAAATCGACTAAGAAAAAACGAAGCGGAAGTGGAAGAAGGTGTTGATCGAAATCCGGAAGCATAGAAGGACCAAAAAACATATTGTTAAATAAATTGATTTATATAGATTAGTAGTAATTTGATCAATTGATCTAAATATAGGGTTAAATTGATTGATTTACTATATGGTGGTGGTTTAAATGGTAGTTTAATTGAAAGCTATAAAATATCTTGCATTTAGGGGTGGTTTTGTGTTTGGGTGCCAGACCCTCGCTTGCGAGGGTCCGTTTTATTGCCTGGGAAATAAAAGTGGGGCCGGTTAGGAACCAAGGTACCATCTTCTAACCGTCGGCAGCAATAGATTTAATGCCGGTAATACCTTCCGCAATGCCTCTATTTAGTAAATATAGATTCTAGCTTTTTAAAACGATCTTTTAAGGCTTTCCTTAGCCAATTTAGAAGCTAGTTTCGTTAAAGTTGTAGATATCCCGTGGCCTTAGTTAATTGCTCTCAATATACTAGTTTAAACGTTTATACCAAGTAGTAAGATAACTAAGATCTTCGGCCTCTATTCTCTTCTTTTCCTTTAGTTTTTGTTTTATAAAATGAAGGTTATAGATAGGTAGGATGCGTTTTAAAAACCGGTATACCTAGTTCTTATCTACCGGCGAACGCGACGCGTCTTCGCGTAGAATCATCGAATTTGCACACCCTTCTATTATCTTAGCGGTAGGCGGAGAGCAAGCATCATCTAGTATAGTGATCCAGCTAATTAATGCTTGCTCTTGATCCGAATTTAAGACTGAATTGGTGGCATGGCGCGTCGAACAAGAACCCCGACCGTGAATGCGGTTGTAGAACTAGGTATAGGGAACGCCGAATTCTCGCGCCAATGGTGCTATTTTTGGTTTTTTTCTAGCATGCCATGCAGATAGGGCATTTGCCAATGATCTCTCCAAATCTGGGTTTTTTTCAGGCATATTTGTAGGGTATAAAATGGTAGTAAAAATGGTGGGTGGTGTAAAATTTGTATTAGGCAAGAGTTTGTATTAGTGTGTGGTAACCCAACACCCGCAGGGGGGTTGGGTTGCTTGGCAAGAACCGGGTATCACCATAGTAAAAAACACAGCCCCTAAACCACCCCAGCCACATAGTACTTCCGTGATCTACTCAATAATCCCCATAATAATACAGTATAATAATGCCACCATTAAATCACGTGATCATATATGATAATACTACTATTAAACCACGTGATCATACATACTATTAAACACGTGGTTATGATTGCCTATACTAGTCTTATTTAGCTGCAAATAATGCAAATAAACTACTATATATAGATTCAAACCCAAAATGATCGCATATCGAATGGGAATCATTCAATAGCTGAGAAGTCTGCTCATGATAGGATGTCCGGTATCATTATCACCTACCTCAATTATGTATTCGATCGTCAGCTGGTACGAGGGGCCGTTCCTGATATCATGGCAGGACAAGTCTTAACCAGGCTATTCACTTATCGCAGTTCTCGTCAAAGGCCACCAACCTTGCTTTGAAGTCTCTGCGAGATCATGGAACTTCCGATTTTAACGTAGCCGGGGTCCTTGCCGAGGCAAACCGACTTCGGTTCAAATCCGAGAACCAATTCAAGTTTCGGGACTATGCAAATGCCCATTGGTCATTTCACGTTGCTCGATCCCTCCCATTTGAAATGACACTGGATGCTTTGTTTCAAAAGCTGTGCCGCTAAGGGAGAGTATCTCCTATTATAATCGAGGAAGATGCGTCTTTGCTTCTCTTACGTGCTGTGCAAACCGGGTGCGATAATGCGATTAAACACGTTTTGATTTCGTCCAATGTTCCCGTCAATTCTCCTTTAAATAGGAATGGGCGAACAGCACTACACTTAGCTATAATAGGCACGTTTAAGGGCTTAGTTCTACGTCTCCTTCAATCCGATGATATCAATGTGGCCGCTCGAGATGTCGACATAAAGACACCTTTAGTTCTTACATTTAAGAGACGGAATTTTCCCGTGGTGCAAGCCTTTTTAAACTTCAAATTAGTGTCTAACAAAACCAATTCTCTGATCATTGAGCTTCTACCACAAGCTGTTCAAGTATTGAATGCCTAAGACTCTCAATTTGCCCTCAAAATCCTACATTCAGCTATGATCAATGATAATAAGGCGCTAGTTGGCATTTTTACATCTAGTCCGGTCAATATCACTTCAAACACATATATGTGGAGTATCATTTACGCAGCAGTAATCCGTGGGAATAGGACAATCATTCAACTCATGTTCGATCCTATCAGAACACCCTGCCTCGATGATAACACAACACTCATATATGATCCACTCCATTTAGTCGCCGAGGCTAGCGATGAATATCTTACCAAGTTCTTCCTTGGCACTAGAAAGATAAATGCGAAGTCCCGCGACGGACGTGGCTAGACACCCCTTCACAGAGTCACCTAGCGATATAACGGGAGAAGTGAACATATGTTTCTCAAGCACTTTCTCCTCCTGGAGGCACCAGAGGCCGCCAGTCAGAGGGACCATTGTGGCCAGACCAGACCCCGTTACACATAGCTGCTCTGAAGGGTGACCTCGGAACCGTCCGCCTTTTGTTGCATTACGGCGCACAACCTAGGTTGGCTGATGATCAAGGATGTATACCCTTACATTACGCAGTCGAGAACGGCTATCTCAACGTGGTCCGCTCCCTTATCCACTTTGACGAGATATCTGTGAATAGACGTAACTCACAGGGGAGGACTCTACATATTGCCACTATCAAGGGCTTGGTCGGCATTGTGTCCGAAATCATGAATGTTCCGAATGTAGAAGTCGAAGCCTCGGATTTCGAGCTTGGTACTCCTTTATCATATGCAATAGAGCTTCGCCACGCATCTATTGCAAAGTTGCTGCATGATTCTGGGGCAAAGAGGCCTAGAATACCTGATATTCGGATATGTCAATATTCTTGAATCAACTTGGGCACCGATTAAGCGCTCTTAATTTCTAGACACCTATATTCTATATAGCTTCAACTCCTATAAGGGGATCAGATTGGCTTTGATTTGATTTTTTTTATTAAGCTAGAGCTACTATAACATATTCCTCTTTGGTCTAGATATATCTTTAGAATGCCCAATGCCTTAATTACTTCAAAGTTATCTGGGTTGTCTAGTATCGGTCCACACTATGCTTAAACAGTTTTAGGAGGGCCCCTTCAAGAGGACAAGGATCGAGCCACGTTTCGACCATATCTTCCCAGTCTCCTTCCCAGAGACAGTCAACAAAGAATGCACCATACTCCCAGTATCGAGGAAACCATCCAGCGGTCTCCCAATCGATAATGGTCACCTTAAATTGCCTTTCAGTAGAGCCATCGCTTCCCGGCTGCTCTTGAACCATAATATTCTGTCTGACCGAGTTAGTGTGAAAAGGTACACGGGTGGCCCTTTAGTGCTTGTGGTAGGTGTCGCGCAAACCACTTAGAAACCCATGGGTGTCTATCATTCAGCCCTTCTTGCTTTTGTGAATGATAGGCCATGCCTAGATGAAAGTCCTCGAATGTCTTGAAAGGCCCATTCATACGTGGATCTTCGTCCATCCATTTGAAAAAACGATGTTCAGCAGGACCTCCGGATATGCTACCGAAGTAGCTCGGGGAGGGAGCAGGGATAGCGCGTAATTGAGAAAATATACGCCTTAGTTGTTCACAGATAGACACCTTCTCATTCTTCGATGGCTCATCCCAGAGCTTGAGAAGATCAATTCCGGGAATTAATTGCATGACGAGGTAGAGAATGTCATCTTTGCGGTACATGGCGTACAGGCGTGGGGCAGGTACTGATGGATACTTCTCCAAGAAGAGTAGCGTGTGTCCTTCGTTCTCCCGGATATAGCGGCCATATTTGACAACGAAATGTTCTCCAACGATAGCAACATGTCCATAGTCGCCAGGGTAGCATTCACGTTTTGTTGGTACTATTGTTCCTGCTCGGATTTCTTCTGAAGTAGGGAGGGGACAAGGAAGCTGGCCAGGGTCCCTGAAGAACGGAAGTTCAGTGCGAAAACCAGTAGATAGAGGTAGCTCCGACATTTTAAGAGGTACTTTGCGAAATAATCGAGACAGGGGAGGTGTTCCTGACTAGATCACTAGTCGTGGGGGAACGTAAGATTAAGATTATAGAAGATAATTTCGATATAAACCTCGATATACTAGATGACCAGTAAGTAGGTAAGTAGAGTAAACCTAAGCCCGTTATAAAGGAACTACCCAGGTAGGTAGTTAGTTATAACTACGACCATCGATAGACCCCCGATTGGGTGTGTCCCCGCTTTATCAACGCGGAATCAACAACCTCCTTCTCCAATCCCCGCGAACTCCATGCCAACACCTACTTTTGCTGATTTAAACCAACTTCAATTATACAATTTATCCATACAATTGACCGGAATACATTGAGGCACATCAATAGCGCTCTCCACCCCTTACTTCTCCGGCCACGCTGTCCGTACCAGCGCCATATTCACCATGTACGTACGCTCCATCTGTTTGTTCATTGAATCGCACAGCAACTAATATGCCTTCCAACAATAGGGGTGTCTTCTCCCTGATCATTATCAATAAAGCAGGTGGTCTGATATACCAGCGCGAGTTCCAGTCTGGCCTGCGCAACCTCTCCACAAATGACTACCTCGTCCTAGCTGGCACCTTTCATGGGTAAGCTGCCAACACCATCTTTCTCCTGAAAATACCCATTTGACTTGGATTCTATAGTGTTCATGCAATCACTCGCTCTATCACACCGAAAATTCCCATCTCCCAACCACCTCCCTCCCCCGCAACCTCTTCAACAGGAACCACTGCTCCTGTGGCGTCCGGTCACTCCTACCCAAACCCCGGTGTGCCAGTCTCCGGCTTGGATTATCTCGAGACCGACAAGTTTCGATTGACCTGTTTTCAGACCCTGACGGGGACAAAATTCTTGTTGTTCACGGATCCCTTGACTGGTAGCGTGGACACGATCATCCAGAAAATTTACGAGCTCTATGCGGACTATGTGATGAAGAATCCATTCTATCAGATTGAAATGCCAGTGCGATGCGAGGCATTTGATCGGCATCTGGGGGCGTGGTTAAGGGGGAGGGCATAGCCCTGATTGACCATGGGACCACGCAGAAAGGGGATAGACATCATGACTTTACGAACTAGATACGTTTTGTTCCGGTACTTGTGTCCGGATATCACTCCGTCTCGTATAATACCAAATCACATAATATATTGCCCTTGCACACATTGTAGAACGTACCCGAAGGTCAACTCTCCAGAATACAGGACAAAAGCACAAGTAAACGCCGGGTATGCATCACAGTCATATTCGAATATCCGGACCTTACGCGGTGTCCATCTTGTCCTCGTCCTTCTTATCTTTGTCACCGCTGGACTCGCCATGGCCCTCCTCGGGGATATTGCCCAGTTGCGTCTTGCCCTCTTGTTCTTCCCGATCGCGCTTCTCCTTCTCCTGTCGGTTCTTCTCATCCTCCATCGATAAACGCAGGGCGAATGCCAGCTCCGGATCGTTTTCGGCGGCGTCATCAAATCCAAATCCACCAGCCTCGCCCTCGCCGCCCCCTCCGCCGACCTCGGAATCCTCGCCAGCTAGGATCGGGGAGAGCTGCAGCTGATCGCTGAGAAGATGGGGTCCGGGTGGGATGATGGCGAGGTGGGAACCATCGCCGCTCTTGACATTCTCAACGAAAGCCTCGAGCTTCTTGGTCTGATCGGATTCCAAATCTCCGAAAGCTATCACATCGATCGACACGTTGTTCTTCTTCATCTTCTTTGCGAGCTTCACGAGGGTCTTTTCATCTTCTTCGATGGGCGAGCAGGAGAATACGATGATGCGTTGACGCTGAGACTTATCCATACGGTGCTTGAGTGCCAGCTAAAATACCATGGATATTAGTTATTTAGGGCCCGGGCATCGGATATTGACTGGAAGAACGTACCGCTGCAACCTGGATGGTCGAGCTGAGATGAGATGTGCCGTGGATCTTTGTTTGGTGCAGCCCAGCGAGGATTGCGCCAAACTCGGGGGTGAAGGTTGACAACACCTCGGGGCCTTTTCCGCCCATGCTCATAAGGCCGACAGCTGACTGGGCGTTTACACGCATCTTTGCATTGTGGATGATGCTAACGGCATCGACTTGAGATTGCCACCGGGTTGTTCTGTGACCATTAGATGCCATGCACAGATGCAAATATAGTACCATCGGATATACTCACGTGTAGTCTCCATTGCGACTGCTTTCGCTGTTGTCGACACTGTAGCTTGGAGTCAGCAGAGTAAGCTAATATAGAGGATGAGCAATGACGGACATGATCATAGTAGCTTCGAGCGTCATGATGGTGAAATCTAGAGGAATTCACGATGTAAAAAAGGGCAGAACAGCAAAGTGATTAGGAGATCAGCGTATGGGGGATGAAGACGGATGACGAAGGCGAGGTGGAAGCTCTGTATTCTGCCACTTCCCTCCGCCCGGTCACGCTGTTTGTTGTGGTCCTCCTTGCTCCGCACCTTCACTTTAGCCCTTGTACTTCGATACATCTCAAGTCTATATCCCTTAAAACTCCGCACAATGCCTGCTATTAAACGCAAGTCGGACGCTATGGACGTCACCCCCACGGGTAGTCCTACCAAAAAGATGCGCTTGACGCAGCATCAGAAACAGGCGCTGATGGACAATCTACAACTTGAAAGTGGGTTAAATTGTGGGTTTACGGAGTGAACACAGCACTGATTTTGCCCACAGTTACTGAGCGGGCACGTAAGCTTCGTGCTCAATATGCCCTTCAAGCAAATGACCTCCGGGCGCGCATTGAGCGACGCGTCAATCGGATCCCAGTCTCGCTACGCAAGGCTAACATCGGCGAGCTCCTCGAAAAGCACAATGCCGCCACGAACAAACAACAGGTTGCGTCACCTTCTCGGAAATACTCGCCCACCAAGGTGTCGCGTAATATCACAAGCATCTCCGTAGACCCAGAAACCTCTACCACACGCGACGGTAGAGCTCGGAGGGGAAGGTACGATATGTCGCAAACCCAATTTAGTACTCTGGCTGACAAAATGTGTAGCCACGATGGCCACTTCTCTGACAAAGAGAATGCCCCTGCCGGTCGCGAGCCCGAACTCAAAAACCCCAAGCGTCGTGTGAAGCCAGCCGGACCAGGGGGAGCCTCGCGCATGGCATCTCAGGAAGTACGGGGCAACGAGAACCGCATTCTGTCTCCCAAGTCGAACAATTCCCGAACATACCCTCACTCGCCCTTCCGTGCATCCCCCGAAAAGGGTCAACCCTCATATCTGGCACGCCCTACCTCGCCGTTAAAACCGTCCAGTCCGTTGCGGTCACGCGGCCAGACTGTGTCTACCGTCAAGGACCAACGGCCTCCTTCGCAGGCTCAGAGAACTGCGACCCGCGCCGCTACAGGACCCAAGACTATTCGGTCACCTTTGTCGCGGCCGGCGACCCGACAGGGCGAGCGCAAGAATAGCACAGGGTCCACTGCGTCTACGGGCACAACAGTAACCAAGTCTACACGAACTGGTACTGGCGCAAGAAAGGCCACCACGGCATCTGCTGCAGCTGCCAAGAGGCCGGCTTCTCGCGCGCAGGCGGCATCAATGGCTGTGAAGAACACCCCCACTACCGCTGCAATGCGTAAGACTACCGCTCCGGCTGTGACTGAAACTGCGACTCGGACTCGTGCGCTGCGCAAGCGGATTTAGGATTGTTTACATGGGCGCATGGATACGTGTCTGCTGTTTTGGGAGTTGGTTGGGATTCTGTTTCTTTGAGCGTGGGTGATTGCAGACTCTGCAATGAACAATTTGAGCCTGAGTGCTGTCTTTTCATGTTTGATTCTTCGGCGTGATATCATAATAGGTGTTTTTCCTTCTCGAGTGGGGTATACATTCATGGCTTGGTCCGGATATCTGAATGAATTTCTTTTAAATCAATCCCTCGCCGTACGAAAACCATAGCCCATCCACGGGTCTTCATCGGTCTGTGTCTAATCAGTCTGAAACAAGATCGGGGATAAACACGCCACCCTTGTCACCCTGGCGCCAATTAGTTGGACTACTTTTGCTCATCACATCGCTGTTCAACAAGCTTGTGTCGGGTCCAGGGCTCCTGCTCAGATGCTCACCAACTGTCATAACACAGACATAGTACCATATCGAGAGCACTAGTCTTACTCCTTCCAGAATGGAGACTATCCGGGAGAGTGGGAAATTCGAAACTAGGTTTGGTTGGAATAACTTCGTCGTCCGACAAGACAGCATCGTATATTACGGGACATGGAATGATCGACCATCTAAACCTACCGATATCGTCAGTTTGAGAAGTTGAGAACAATCAGCACAGGGTACACAAAACATGGGCTATGGTATCACAGGAAGACTATTACCGAAAAGCTCCAGGCTTAACCGATTTCCTCTATTCAGAGCTTGGAGTGTGTGTGCTTCGCCGGCATCCATATCCGAATATTGCTACTAGCTATGACTGCCGAGAGGAGAATGGGTCGAGCGACTGATCTTCGCTTGATACGATACAAGGAGACCTTGTCCGGGAAGGTCAACCCTAGATATTTGAACAAGAATCAGTTCTGGGCTAGTGATCGTGAGTATCAAATAAAGAATTGAAGCGTCGAGAATCAAAGTATGGAGGTAGGTATAGATACATGTCGAGGGAAATGCATAGTGAGTGTATTATTCAGGACTTATCCACAAACATGCAAGGCTCTACAGTACAAGTAACCCCCTCAGGCAACTACAAGCACAGATATCATAGCAATCGTGTTGATTGAACAGATAAGAAAGGAAATAAAAGTTCCCTGGCTCTTGTTAAGCAAAAGGCCAGGGGAGAGAAGAATCAGAGAAGATAGGAAAAAAAAGGGTCTAGGTATAGCCGTAGCCTGGCCCAACAAAAAAAAAAAAAAAAAGAATGAGCATGCTCAGAAATCAAAAGTGAGAGAGAATGGCAAAGAAAACAGGACATTTATGCCCAGAGGGACAGGTATGGGTATGGCTGATCCCTCGAATCAGATGCAAATGAACAAAGATAAAAAAAAAAAAGTGAGGCATCCCAGCCACTATAGAGATAGAAAGAAAAACGGAAACCGATCAATAGCCACCAAGGTGCTTGTTGATCACTTTTGGGGGATTTTCATGGAAGGGGAAAAGAAAAAGAAAAAGGGTAAACTCCGTCAACCAGCCCTGTCACTCGACAAAAAAGAAAAGGAACAGAACGCTAAGAAGGTCCCAAGAAACAAGAAAACGAAAACACCCCACAGAGATTGAATCAGACGGATGGATGCATGTCGAGGTCGGATGATTATGTATCGCAGTATTTTGCAGCTGTGCAGGAGTATAAGGAGAACCAGTCTACCCAGTAACACCCATGGCACCTGCACTCGGACGCGGCCTGTAGGCCACATTTGAGGATTGGCCATCAGGTGCCCCTGCAATTGGCTGGCTACTGTTGCTGGTGCTACGGTCACGGTGATATGCTGCTGGGGGGGGAGGACCAAAATCAGGCCCTGTCTGGGGGTTGGTGCTTGTCGAGTGAGAGTGTCCACCGGGCCCGGGCACATGGCGAACCGAACTTTGCATCTGCCAGGCTGCATCCTGAGATGGATCGGTCTCGATACGCGCGGAAGCTGGAGTGCTGTTGGTTCGGTTGGGGGTGGTGATCGTGAATGTCTCGCCACCGTTCTCCGGTCTCTGTGAGAAGCTGCCTCGAGCAATATCGCCATATCGTTTGAGGATTTCCTTGGTTGTCACTTCAGCATTCTCCCTGAAGAGAGTTGGATCACCCAAGACCGATTGTAGGTCTTCTGGGATCTATTGATAGAGTTAGTATGAGTATGGGAAGACTTCAGCCTGGGCGGTTTACCTCGCAGAATGCGTCGTTATACGCGATCAGGGCATTAACGGCTTCAATAGACAAGAAGCTCTCCTCCACTGTGCTGTTTTTGGCATTGGGGTAAAGGATATTAGGCGTGATGACAGTTGCAAGATTGTGAATGTCCATCTTGCTTCCGGACTCTTCATCTACATGCGAGAAGGATGATGTCCAGTTTAAGAAGGCAAACAGGACTTCCATCGTATCACGGTGAGCTTTGGGAAGCAGACAACATGTCAAGTGAAGTAGTCGCCTCTGTTTCTCCGCGTCATCCATTTCTATGACACAGGTTAGCATTGCACGAGCAGACCGATAACCATAACATCAAAACCTACTTTGTGAGATGACAAATAGTCTGTGTAGCTTGAAAGTCAAGAGCGGGTCGGGCATCTCGCGGAGGAATTTTTTCAAGAGAGCTGCGATCTGTACTGGAGTTTCCTTTGTCAGATCAACCTGCTCATACTTGGTGTCGATTAGCTCCGCGGTATCCTTCAATCGGCGGATGTTGCCGTTCTTTCGGAAGACACCCTCGACAGACATGTCCATCTGCCGCATAGCGCAAACAGAATCATCAACCAACGTCGGGATGCGGAGCGCACCAGGGCCAACACCGTGACTTGACTCTGTGCCCTCCTTCTCAACTAAATAATCTAGACCGACACCGAAGACACCCTTCTTCTTATTACCCTTCTTGTTGTCTTTGAAGGCACGACCGAAGATGTTCCATATGGTCGGTTTGCGAGACTCAATAAGAGAAAGTAGCTCCTCCATGCTGAAATAACCCTCTACCAAGGGTTCCATCTGTAGCACGGCAACGTGGCGAACGATGAAATATTCCAAAGCAGTTAATTCCGAGAAGTACCGCTTGGTTCGAGTTGGCTCCATGAGGGCCTCCAAATTTCCACTCGATACTCCCCGTTGATGACCATGGTTGTACCTGGGCATCGGCTCTGTCCCCCCAATGAGCTTTGTACCAGCATGCCTGTAGGCATTAGGTCGCTGCTCCTTGGCTTGCTCGGCCGCAACAATACGGGGAATGTCATCTAGCGTCAAAGCATCCTGAGCCCCGAAAGTCAGATCCGTAACGGTTTCGCCATTGGCATCCCGTTCTTCGACAATCTGGAAACCGTGGCCCCTCGGGTCACTGCCATCATTGCCAGATGACCCCGGTCGGGCACTTCTGCCTTCTGGCCCGTTGATGATCCTGGATGCGCGGGCGTGTTTGTATGTTGTGGATAAGGTTCGCTCATTGCGAATGGAGCGTAGCCGACGCATCTCGCCGACGGTCTGCTCAAGGGATGTTTCTTCGAAGCCATCTCGCGGGGCACCGCCATATGACTGTCGAACCTGGCGTGACATCCGACGGCCGTCTTTGTTGTCATGATCATTAAGGTTGGGGTCGTCTGGGGCGAAGCAAGTTAGACAAACTGCCGGCGGGATGGGGGTAAGGTAAAAGTATCCTACCTGAAGGATGAGGCAAGGTTCCCCGGACCGAAGTACGGCGAGAAGCCGTGCGAGGGCCACTTTCAGTAAGAAAACAAATTGTTGCAATTTTGAAACTTGACTGAAACCACCCGTCACCGCAGGGCCAAGTTGCACCTGATGGGCGCAAGCGCCGCAGTATACTTGTTCCTCGCTGCCGCTCCACAATGCGTCTTGGATATCAGCGGTCAGGTCCTTCTCACACGATCTACAAGAAAGATGAGGCGGCTTGATGTGCCAACGACTCTGTCCCAATTGAACACATTCGTCGTCAATTGGTTCTTTGCAGGCGATGCAACAATCTGAAAGTTGATCGGCCAAACCTTCCACTCCGGCCATCAGGTCGACGGGTGTATCATCATCTTCGCGCCCGGCTAATGACTCCAGATCACGGAGATGCTCCAGGAAGTTTTGTAAACCGTCTGGCGCAGACTTCTCGCGTTCAAGTTTGAGTGCACCTTGTAGACCGATGCGGATAAGGAGTTTGAGGTAGTGGGCAAGACCAGTCACCAGGGACAGAAGTTCCTGGGTGACGCCGAGTTTGCGTACTCCGGTTTCCTGGGTTTTCGATAGGAGGGCGAAGAAAGCGACAATCTTTTTACAGAGAAGTTTGGCTTCGCGGCCATAGGAAAGTTCTGGTTTGGAAGAATCAGCGATCGCTCCCGACGATATAAAATCAGCGACGCGAGACTTACCTTTTAACTCGTGCGATTTGATATAATCCGCCAATTGGTCAACTGCACCGAAGAGGATTTCCACATGCTCAATGAAGCGCTTGGCCACGAGAACACCATCGATGTAAGCGCCATTGCTCACATGAAGCAGCATATCTGAGATGCAAGCGGCGGATGATTCTTCAAAGGTGGAGAGGGTGTTCCAAATATTAAAGACCTTCTCCTCCATAATATCTTCTTCGTCGCGGATATGCTTGCGCTCCTCTTCGCTGGCATCCTCATCCACCGGCGGAGGCTCCCATGTTTGACCGGCAGGGGATAACCGGACATTCCAGAACTTGTGGATCATATAACATTCGGGGTGCCAGTGTTGATTTTGACCGTTGCGGAAGATCTCGACGAACTGTTTTAGGATTGCAGTGTGACATCCATGGCATCTCTGGGCAAACTGGGTTGAATAGTGAAAGTGGCAGTAGACCTTACTTTCGTGCTCATAGTAAGAGTCCTGAGCACCAAAGACGGTCGGACAAACGGAGCAGGTAAAGTGCTCAATATGATACTTCCGGTCTAACGCTGTAATGTATGATCCACGTAGTGCGCCGCCGCACTCATGGCATAGGAGGCTGAGTCGTCTAAAATAATCGGTTTCGCAAAGTGGAAATTGGCAACTTGAATCTTCTGAATCGACGGGGAAAAACTTCGAAGCAACGATCTCGCCACAGTCCTGAAAGAAGTATGAAGTTAGAAAAGACCCCTACAAGGTTAGCCAGAAGAAGCAACTTACTTCGCACTTGAAACACTCCAGATGAAAAGTACCGCCCAACGCTCGCACAAATTGGCCAGTGAGAGATTCACCGCACTTTTGACACAGACGCGATGAACCGCCAGGGGACTTATTTGGACGCCCGTTCACTCGCGAGCGATCTCGGGGTGCTGAACGGTCGCGGAAGCCAGCCTGGTCAGGACCCAGGGTACGACTCGAGCGCCCACCATCCTCCTGGTTCACCGGAGTGGTTGGGCTTGGACCTCCCGTTCGTGTTGAGGGTGAATCGAACGGAATTAAACTGTCCTCGGGAGATGTGGGTGTATTTTTCGTGTAGTTAGCCCCGTAGCCAGAGGTGTCAACGGTGGGACGGCCGCTGGGGTTGCCTGCGACCAGGCTGGCTGGGAGTCCACCGGGGGGCATCTTGGTCCCCCGTCAGTAGAAATATGGTGGGGTTTGTTGGGTTGAATCACGCCGAACGCTGCATGCAAAGAATTGATAGTAAGGAACGGGCGAGGCGACGTGGTAAACGAGATTGATGAAAAGAGTTAAATCGAAGATGCAACGCGGTTGCAGATTGGCGGGAAATTGAAGGTAGGCTGGGCGCGTACGGTCGAGAGTCTGATTCTTAAATTAGAATCTCATGCCTTGGGTGGTTTACCCGGGGTCACTGTTGTTCCCTAGAATATAGTACTCACTCTCACGCCATGTAAAGATACGTGGGGGTGGCAGATGCAGTAGTGACGGAAATTGCGCGCAGAATCACCGATATCGAATTGGGAAGGTATAGAGGAAGGTTGCTCCGGACGAAGGGTCTGAAAGCGCGTAGGCTAGAGGACGCGGGGGCCGGGTTTCGAGGGGATTGAGAGCTTTCAAGGTGAGACCAACAGAGGGCGCGGATTATCGGGCGACAATCATCCCAAACTGAACCGGCAAATTCCAGGACTCCAAGAACCAGATAGGAAAAAAAAAAATTAAGGTGCAAGGGCGAGGGGAAAAGAAGTGGGCTGGGGAGGAATGGAGATGGAGATGGCTTGGGCAACTGTTGCCCCCCCCCCTAATATTAGTTCGGGACCCTATAGTCACGTGATCTATACAATTTCTATTTCTACTGGTATACGGAGGGAGTACTAGGATATTTGGGATATTTTAGATGTCATTAGAGGGTATTTAAGATTCAATTAGATTGGTTTAAATCAAAGTATCTGGGAAATATGAGCATTGCACGGTGTACCATGTGCATGTACAAAGTAGACACAGCATATGGTGTACTCTGTACCGGCCCCATGTGCCCGTATGCTTTTTATAGAACATTCTGTAGACTAGTTTCTTGATTTTTGTATTAATCTGCTTTAAGAACATTTGAAGTGATATCTCGTTTGTAAGGTATATTTTCCCCTCGTGTGTTGTAGTTGTAATAGAAGCAACCTTAAATAGCATCAAAGGTCTACATATTATGGGATTTTCTGTTGGCCCGTATATATGTTATAGTTCTCAGGTTTGATATCTTCATATAAAATACATCAAATACCTACATAGAATAGATAATATATGTTGTACATAGTTAACTAGTATCTTGTTTTGTAAATTCCCAAAGTTTCCAAGGAGATCCATGGATTAAGCATCTCATCAGACTGATCATTACATATATATTTATATAACTATGTATGTAACTACTCCGTAGACTAACATAGGAATGTTGATGTGATTACCCGTACAAGTGGAAAGTGAGAGGCTGGCAAAATGGGGTAAACAAAACCAAAATAGCCAGAAAAAAAAAGAAGAAAAAAGAGAAGATATATCTTATGAATATTAAAAATAAAGTAAACCCTTAGAATAAAGATAGAAAAGAAAAAGAAAAGAAAAGTTAGGAATTGGAAAAAACCAAAACCAAAAAAAAAAAAACATGACAAGACAAAGGTTGAAGAGACAAACTTGTCCTTGCGGGTTGATTTCATCAACCTGGGGTTTTGCCTTCTTTACCTCCTCTTCCTTCTTTAAGGACACCCTGCTTTTGATAAACTTCAATTTTCCAAAGCTCCTCCTACTCTCTTCCTTCTGCAGTACCCGTGTGGACGTATGATCAACTCACCACCTACAACATAGACGTTGCAAGATGGGTGACCAGTGTACTCTACGCCTCGTCCGAGTAGGTTTCTAACTATCTATCCATTTGGGCAAATTATCCCGGACCAATCACTAATCTCCGCATTTCTTCATCAGGAACTGAGACAGGTTGAGCGGAGTGAGCAACTTGGTATGAGATCTCCGTACCCGAGCGCTTTTGACACTCGAGGGCCACTCTACAGACATTCACATACTAACCTCGGTACAGCTTTCACTGTTCGGTATGAAGAAAGCAACATTCGTGACATACAGGCCCTCATCATCGGACCTCCAGGCACCCCATACGAACTGGGCTTTTACGAGGTAAGATCCACCCATCCAAGACTGGCCCGAGCTCGCTTCTTTGAACTATGGCTAACCAATTGTAATGCGTCTATCAGTTCTCGATCAAAATACCGTCTGGTAAGATGGTCTTCTGTCTCGTAGCAGGCACTTACTAAATTACAGCGATATAGATTACCCAGCAAATCCCCCGACAGTGAAATTACGGACAACCAACAGGGGCCGAACTCGCTTTGGTCCTAATCTGTATGCCAATGGCAAGGTATGCTTGTAAGTGCGCCCTGGGAATTATTAATTATCTTGCAGAGCCCGGTACTAACATCTTCCAGGTCGATCTTGGGGTAAGCTTTCCTGATAACATGGATGGCATTTATGGAGCACTAAACATCGCAACAGGACTTGGCATGGTTCTCGAGGTGAGCAATGGTCGCCTGCGCAGGGACTCGAATCTGTTATGCTGTCAATTCAGAGTCTCTTATCACCAAACCCGTATACACTGGAACCCGGGTTTGAGGGCAACGAAAGGGCGAACGACACGGAAAACATGGAGATCTACAAATCCAAGGTGGGATCCGATCTGTCTAGAATAAGCTTCGCAATGCTCACATTTTATATCAGATCCGCCATGAAAATTTACGACTGGCAGTCATCACGCCTCTTGAACAAGCCTTTCAAAATCCGTCCCCTCGTCGAGTGGCGCTAAGGGTCTGTCACGAATCGAGCGCGGAAGAGGATAGTGATGCCGAATTGGAACCTGAAGCCGGATTGCTCGCTCGAAGCAAGTTCCACGACTTCTGCAAGAGACGCTTCCTGTGGTACCTTGAGTTCTACCAGAATGCTATTGAGAAAGGTATCGCGGACGAGGCACGCAGACAAGGCACGTCATTCATCCAAATGCCATTTGAAGGCTATGGCAATACCATGAGCGGAGAATGGAACTACATCGACCTACAAACCCGTTTGTTGGCTCTTCGAGACCGATTGATGGAAGAGACGCACAACTGGCCTGTCGAGGGTCTTGCTCTGGTCAAGGAGGATGCCGGGATTGCAGTCAAACTGGCGGGTCAGCATGAACAGATTGCTGCAGAAATGAACTCTTGTCCTCAAGTCATTGATCTGTCGTTAGTTGATGACAACCCATTCGTCTGGAGACTCACCTATGTTGGTCGCAACGAGTCCAGACTGGAAGGTGGAATTATCAAGATAAAGATTTACATCAGTCCTCGACACCCAGAAGAACAGCCTCGGGTCTTCGCCGAATCACCTTTGTACCACATTCGTGTCTCTAAGCTGGGTGTGTTGATGTACCTTCCTTCGCATGCTGAAGAAATCCGCCAACACATCGATGGCATCATAAACACGCTGGAAGACGACAACCCTCCGTACAACCCCCTCATGACAGTCAACCCAGAGGCAAGTGCTCTGTGCTGGGGCTCGGAAACAGATCGCAGGCTCTACAGGCGCAAGCTTCGAGCATCTCTGGAAGAATCCTGAGGTGAGCTAGCTCATTGTCCCGGAATGTGCATATTTGCTGAGCAATGTGTCACATAGCAGGCTACATGTCAGTATTCGATTATGATTATCAATCCAACCTCGCTTGAACTGTATCATTTTCCTGCCATAGCTATGTCTTACCTTGAGTGATGTCCCTCGAGATGGTGGAGAGACTGGGTATCGTGGGGCATGTGGCTTCGAATGCCATTTAACACGTGAAAATCGATATTTGATATCAAACAACATTCATACAACAATACACAGAAAGGAAACTTCTTGTGATAAAACTTAATTCCTGTATACTAAGTCCATACAACACGCGGATAAGACAATAATAGAAGACTGCACGAGGTATAGCTCCATAGCTAGAACGTACGAGATGAACAGAGCACCATCCTTTGACTGTAACCATATATATGGTCTGTGCAAAGCTCATCCAGTCTGGTACAACGGGGGATGTCGGATGCCCCTGAGACTGTCCCACGAATGGGCTTGGTTTTCCAAGGTTAGCGAAAGTACAAAGTGAGGGTTAGGAATAGCCATACCAAGAATCACATTCACAGTTTGATAGCAATCACGAATGGTAGAGTGCCCGTAGCTGACGGCAGGCCTCGGACGGGACAGAAATATAGGGATCATGGTGCCACAGGCCAATCCAGTAATCACAAATTCTTTGAATCTGTCGGCGTTGCGGGCGATTCTTCGGCCTCCACCACTTGGGAAATGTGTGAACATTTGCCCGGATGTTGAATATATCGATCATGTTGGTTTCAACCATTGCCAGCCCATTCAGCACTTGGCATTCATCCCAGGACACCGAATAATGGTCTTTGAACACGCCTTTCCAACGCCGAGTCTTCTTTGGGCCCTCAAGGCTCTCAGTGATCACCTTAAGATCTGCCAAGATATTTGCACCTGGAGTCCTGTGGATTTGTGCTTGCGTTAAAAGGCCGGCGTGATCTGACCTTTTGTTGGAGAATTTGGGGGGCATGGTTAAGGAATCTTGTCTGGTATATCGGGAACTCATTTCCAGGCCGTCAAGCCTGTGCTTGTGGTTGTCAAGCTCTGCTGTCAGGGTATCAAGGCGTTTATTGACAAGTGACGTGGAAGTATCTTCAGTAGGAACTGTTTCGACTATCTTGCGGTCCTTTCGTGGGGCGAGAGGGGCGGCGCCGATGGTGTTTGGAGAGTCAAACCATGTAAACTTTCGATTCCAGTAGTTTTCCATGTTGAAGGTCTCAAGATTCTGGAGAATGTGAATAGAGGGCACTGAAGTGAAAGCAGGGGGAAATGAAGAAGGTGAGGGTCAAGTTCCAAGCTCACCTGGTCAGAGTCGTTCCTTCCTTGGATGGCCTGGGATTCTCAAGATGCATACAACACAGTTACATATGTACATGTATATATGTATGTATGTATGTATGTATGTATGTCTTTCGACATGATAGACGATCACCGAAGCAGTGTTTATGTCATTTCTATTTCCATTTCAAGTTTCCCCAGGACACGCAGTTCGAAGACTTTGGTCAAAGACTTGGTGTGATTCAAGTGGGAAATCATGAGCACAAGAATATTCTGTCATGTCTTTTTTCAAGTGTATACATATGTACTTTATGCATTTCCCTATAGATAACTACAACAGAGGGATAACGAGCATACAATGAAAGCTCGGATAGAGGCCCTTCGAGAATTCGAATGGATATATATATACACCGAGTTCTCTTCATTTTTTGTCTTTCTGTTTATTCCACCAAATGTCCTCATTTACTACTAGATATATAAAACTAGTGTGCTCATCACAAAATAGAAGGAAAATAATTCATCCCAATGTAAAGTACGGAGTAGAAGAGAAAGAGGAGAAGAAGTGCCAAGTTGGGGTCGAGCCCATAGCCCGCACGGATCACCTGATTATCTCCGCCAACTTCCCCGGCCCCCTTTTCACTCAACTTCCATCCCCCCCATCTACAAAAAGAAATTACATTATGTCGGCAAGAAAGCGCACATTGGAGTTAGGCAATGTCCTGGTGGTTGGAGGCTGCGGCTTCTTGGGGTGGCACATTGTTGATCACCTGCTGAACTTCCCTTCCGAGACCGACCCCAGTTACGCTCTGCCGAAGCCCGTCGGCGATGCGCGTTTCGAGTACCCGACTCTAGGATCGCGCTACCCAGATTACCGCTCGGCTGTCTCTGTTGTTGACTTGCGCACCACCAACAACCGTCTTCCCGGCGCTAAGTACTACGATGGCGATATCACCTCCGTCGAGTCCATGTTGGAGGTTTTCCGTGCCGTCAAGCCTGATCTTGTTATTCACACTGCGTCTCCATCTATGATTGAGGGCAACAAGCCCCTGCTACACAAGGTTAATGTGGAGGGAACACGGACGCTCCTCGAGGTCGCTGGTGGCGAGCATGGCGACTGGGGTGGTAAGTGCAAGGCGTTCGTCTACACTAGCTCCAGCTCCGTGGTCCACGACACACAAAGTGATCTGAAGAATGTCAACGAGGAATGGCCATACATCCGGGGTACTGCGCAGAAGGAGTACTACTCCGAGACTAAGGTGTGTTTTTATTATTGTTATTAAACATGGTTTAATCGGGATCAATCACTAATCAGACCCTTTGCGTCTATCAAGGCCGATGCCGAGGAACTCGTCCTGAAGTACAACAAAACGTCCCCCAACCAGATGCTCACAGCTGCTATCCGCCCGGCCGGAATCCACGGAGAGAAGGATACAACAGTCACACACAAGATCCTAGAGCACGGGTCCCAGGCTTCAGACAGAGTGTTACGGATGCAGCTCGGTGATAACGACAATCTGTTCGATTTCACGTATGTCGGCAACGTGGCTTACGGTCACCTGCTTGCTGCGCACCGGCTTCTGGCGAGTTATGACCTTCACGCGGCTGGCAAGGGCGGGCCCCTCGACTACGAGCGCGTGGACGGCGAGGCTTTCAACATCACCAACGATTCCCCCGTTTATTTCTGGGATGTCACCCGTGCCATGTGGGCTTTGATCAATCGCGTCGTGGAGCCGGAACAGGTCTGGGCTCTGCCCGAGGGTCTCCTTGAGACTGTCGGTGGTCTCGCTGAGACTGTCATGGGATTGTTTGGCAAGACTCCGCGTCTCACTGCCCGGACAGTGCGATACTCATGCATGACTCGCTACTACTCGACCGAGAAGGCCAAGTTCCGCCTGGCTTACTTGCCTGTTGTGCCCTTGGATGAGGGAATTGCTCGTGCTGTTGGATACATTGTTGCCCAGCAACAAGCGGATGCAGGAAAGAAGGCATTGTAATCTGAAATTAGATCATGAGATTGAAAAAGGCATCTTATGCTGTATTAATATGACTGTTTGCCACAAAGAAAAACGCTGTCATTACTATGACCCAGGAGATCGTACACCAACAACTTTGGTTGTAGTTCTAGTTCCAGGAATATGTATAAGATGAAAAAATCGAAACGACACCAACAAATATGTACATAACTAATTTTATAGTTAGATCAGTGGAGTAAGATAACCTTGGAATGATGATGATTCCTAATCTACCTAGTTATTGTTTGCAATGTTTGCACTGTTTGTTAGTGGTCATCTCTACGGGGATCCATAGATGTGTAGGTAGATGTCAGCCAGCATAGATTATTGAAAATATTAGTATATAGATATGTAATATAATAGGCCTGACCTTTTAAAAGCAACGATTAGCGATAAAGATGTCATATATATGAAGGTCCTGGATACAGTAACTAGTTAATATTTTACTGAATCATGTGATCCCCGTATAATAGGAAAGTGGGCCATCGATCCACCTATGGGCCCAGGCACTTTCCAGAGTTCTGTTGTCACGTGGAAGTGGATCGGGCTTGTATGGGTGTTGTATGGGTGTTGTACTAGTGCTGCAACCCAACAAGACATTTTCACAGAATTTGACTCACTAGCAAGCGCTTCTCCTCCAGGGCTATTTCCCCCTGTAACCCATCAGATCTCAGATCTAAAATTGTTGTGACAATGTCCGATCCTGAGAAACAGTGCTTAGGGACTGATTGCGACAAGGAAGCTGGGACATTGCAATGCCCGACCTGTCTGAAGCTGGGTATCAAAGGCAGCTACTTCTGCGATCAAGACTGCTTCAAAAGGAATTGGGTATGTTACCTCTGTGTGAACATTTATTTCTCTGACTGAGAATCTAACATTGATCACGGGTACCTAGGCCACACATAAGGTGATACACAAGACACAAAATGGTAGTCACTATACACTGATTGTTCATAGCCTTGTTCTCTAATCGTGATATAGCTATTGGATTTTATGACCCCTTTCCAGCATACCCATACACTGGCTCTGTCAGACCCGTATACCCACTCTCCCCGCGACGACCTGTCCCCAAAACAATCAAGCATCCCGACTGGGCCAAGACTGGCATTCCACAGCGTGAGATGCGCCTAAGCAGGTCGAAAGTTGATTTGTTGGATGTAAAGGGTCAGGAGGCCATGCGCAAGGTGTGTAGGCTGGCTCGAGAAGTACTCGACATAACTGCTGCAGCCATGAAGCCTGGCGTGACCACAGATTACCTGGATGAAATCTGCCACAATGCTTGTGTCGAGCGAGAGGTGAGTCTAGTGCACACCCACTCTTACTCCTATGTGAAGTATACCGGGCCTCTTTGCTAAACCGCGAGGTAGTCATATCCTTCTCCACTTAACTATAGCCACTTTCCCAAGTCATTGTGTACCTCTCCGAATGAGGTTGTATGTCACGGAATCCCTGATCAACGAGTCCTTCTTGATGGTGACATTCTTAACCTCGATATTTCTCTGTACCACGGCGGATATCATGCCGATGTCAACGAGACCTACTATATTGGCGATAAGGCTAAAGCGGATCCGGACTCAATCAGACTCATTGAAACGACCCGGCAGGCCTTAGACATGGCTATCGAGATAATCAAACCAGGTGTACCAATTCGAGAGTTTGGCAAGATCATTGAGAAGCACGCAGCCTCTAGGGGCCTTGTCGTTATCAAGACCTGGGGCGGCCACGGTATCAACTCGGAATTCCACCCTCCTCCTTGGATCCCCCACTACGCGAAGAACAAGGCTGTGGGAACATGTAAACCTGGGATGACATTCACGATTGAACCTATCCTAGCTTTGGGCGGCAGCCGAGAAGTATATTGGCCGGATGACTGGACAAACGTGACGGTGGACGGCAAACGGACAGCACAATTCGGTGTGTATCGAGCTTTCAGAGGTCTGTTGTAAGCTCTAGATACTAACCTACAAATCGATAGAACATACTATGCTTGTCACCGAAACAGGCGTCGAGGTTCTGACGGCGAGACTGGAGAACTCTCCAGGAGGGCCAATTCCCATACCGGAGGTTGCAAACGGAGACGCAATTGGGAAAGCAATGAAATGATTGTATGGGCGAGTGGAGACCGGTCACATATGGATTACTTACTGGAAAAACTCCAAACTCGGTGTATCAGCATCCATATTCTTGTATTATGACTTACATTGCTTGAAAATGACCGCGTATGCAAGTCTAATGTACACAAATCCAGCGGAGCAAGCAATTAAGCATAGATTTGGAACTATCAACTATTTTAACATGTAGATGTATTTGGATGTCTCTTTATATGTCTGTTTAGATAGATTTAGTCATAGGTTGTTCCGGGGGTGCCTGGCTCACCATCTGCACTCTAGCCAATGCCTTTTGTAACGACTTTTTTGCCTTTGTCACGATGCGGGCTTTAGCTGGTCTTGGAGGGGCATTAATTATGCCTAACGCAGTGGCTATGATATCCAGTACCAATCCCCCCGGTCGCGTGCGAAAATTTGAGTCTGGGTTTCTTTGGTGCGTCGGTCCCATTAGGAGGATATTTTGGGACATTGTTCTTGGGTGCCTTTCTACATCGGACAGAATGGAAGTGGCTTTTCGTCTTCATGTAGGTGATACATTCTGTGGACCCCGGAGCAGAAGTACTAATAATGCCTTGATCACACAGTGCCTGTCTCGGTGTGATCACATTCACTCCTCTCTGGGCTTTGAGTCCGCGAGAACCTCCGGTCGATCGTCATGGAAAGATCGACTGTATTGGATCGGCTCTTGGAACAAGCTCATTGATTCTGTTCAGCTTTGTTTGGAAGTAAGTAGTTGATACCAACCCGATCCATTGTATATTAACCATCCCCAGTCCAGTACCAAGTGTCGGTTGGTCAACCTCCTATGAGATTTTTCTCCTGATTAGCTCAATTATCTTATTCGGGGGCTTCTTGCTTTGGGAAAGAAACTAAGCCGCGGAGCCCATCATGCCACTCGAAATCTTCAAAGCCCCATCCTTCCTCATGTTGCTTTTGGTCGTGCTTCTCAATTATATGGCTGTCGGTACCTTGATCTGGTACCAGGTGTTATGGCTCCAAAAGGTCTGGCATTGGTCCCCCCTCCAATTTGCTGTAGGCTGGACCCCATTCGTGATCTGCGCCACGGGCGCTGCCTGTCTCGCAGCATGGATGATCCCGCGAATGGCAGCACAATGGATCCTGGCCATTGGGACGGTCACGATCTTGATTCTAATGTGCCCATGGCGACCGTGCCCATCCACCAATCTTACTGGCCCCAGATTTTTCCTTTCGGTGGTTCTGTTCTCATTCTGCCCGGACTTCGTGTACACGGCTGGTCAAATAATTGCCAGCAACTCCGTCCGTCGAAATCAGCAAGGGATTGCTGCGTCCGTCATTGGCACCCTGAATCTATATGGAAACAGTCTCGGACTCGGGTTTGCATCCACTATTAAGGTGCAAATTGCCCGACATTCGGGTAGCCAAATCACGGGGTACCGAGCGGCACTTTTGTTCGGGGTTGCCATCAGTGTCTTAGCGCTTATACTTGATGTCTGCTTTGTCCGAATAGTCAAAGATGATCGGGAGGGATGGCATGAGGATGACCACATGGAGGAGAGAGGAGATTGAGCTGACGGAGCAAGCCGAAGCTACTGGTATCCATCTACCGAATGTAAACCACTAAAAAGCTGGACACTTACAACATACATGCCGACATGAGACTGGAAAACGGCAAAATATCGGGTGACGGAACGTGGGGTGTCGGGAAAATGCCGGATTGAGCTTGGATTGGGAAAAAGCCTCAGCAAGTGGATAGAAGGTCAAGAATCTATTTGTCAAAGTTTTTCTTTTTTCTTTCTCGTGACGGTTCATGATACCCTAGACCGTATGTTGTATGTCTCGTTTCCATATACGGAGTACAATATGGGTGTATAGTTTTCCCCACGTTATGTTGGACTCGCAATATGATGGCTTTGCGGGGGATATGATCTCATTAAACACTCGGTGAGAGAAAGGAGCAAAATTGAAAAAAAAAAGCCAAAAAAAACAAAAGAAAAACTGCGGAGAGGCGGGGAAGTAGGGGATTGGCGCTGTATGCCGAACTTGGATTCCGTGTGGAGATCGGCTTTTCTGGCTTTTTTTTTGGCTTATCTGCTCTCTTTTTGTTGGCCGGTTTCTTCCGTTTCGTTTAGTCTTTTGTGGGGGTGGTTTTGGTCTTTTCTTTTCTTGTTGGCCCAAGTGGAATGTCCGAGAGCCGACCAAAATCGCTGATCCCGTGATCCCGTGATCCCGTGACTCCAGAACTTCCCGGGCCGAGACAATGCACGGGATGAAGTTGCCTGTGATAATTCCGTACTTATTTACTCATTTACTTATTTTTCAGGAGGAACTCAGAGAATCACTTTATATTATCCAATTCTCTTTAATCCTATCATATCAACCTTTATATCCGGCTTGCACCGGGGGGGATCGTCATATACCCATGTCATGGACATGGATGTCATTCGTTGAAGCCGAATTACTCTTCGGAACGCTTGCTGTTCTCGGATGCCCAGTCGGACGGCTCCACTATGACCCCCCGCGTAAAATATCTCGACGATGTTCGGCGTGGGGGTACGTACCGACGTACCGGGGAAGTAAAGAAATACTAGCGCGGGGGGAACCATGAAAAAAAAGGGTTTTCTGTTTCATCTTAAATAGAAGAACCTGCTCGTGTCTGGTCCCCCGGATTATTTGGTTGTCCTCACGATCACAAACACACCAATACACAATGGCAGACGATATCTCACGGGAAAACCGAGACCGGATAGACGTTGACACCGAGAAAGAACGGATTGAAAATGTCGAACATATTGCCTCCCCACAGCAAGATGGCACTCCTCAGATGGATCCTGCTCGCCGGATAGTCGTCGAGAAGAAGCTCAAGCGCAAGCTCGATGCCCGTTGCAGTCTTTTTGTCGCGATCTACAGTGAGTACTTTCTCGCCCCCCCAAACAGGCGAGCTATGAGCTATACATGAACTTCACATGACTGACACGACCCCCGTGGACAGTTATGAACTATTTGGATAGAAACAACATGGCTGCTGCTCGTTTGAAGGGTCTGCAGGAAGATTTGAGCCTCACCAACACCGAGTACTCAACATGTCTGAGTATCCTCTATGTCGGCTACATTATCATGCAGGTTCCTTCCAACATGTTCATCAACCGCATCAGTCGCCCCTCGCTCTACATTGCCGTAGCTATGTTATTGTGGGGCCTTATCTCCACCCTGTCTGGAAATACCAAGAACTTTGGTGATATGGTGGCTGTCCGTTTCCTGCTGGGATTCATCGAGGCGGCATTCCTGCCCGGTGCCCTGCTCATCCTCTCCAAGTGGTACACGCGCCGCGAATTGACTACCAGAAACGCCATCTTGTTCTGTGGTAACCTTATCTCCAATGCATTCTCTGCTCTCGTTGGTGCCGGTGTGCTATCCAACATGCAAGGTGTCATGGGCCACGCCGCGTGGCGCTGGCTCTTCTGGATCGAGGGCGCTGTGACTATGTTCCTTGCCATCCTTGCCGCGTTTATCTTGCCTGATCTGCCGCACAATGCACGCGGCTTCACGGAGGAAGAGCGCCAAGTTGCGCAACTTCGCATGATTGAGGACGTCGGCGAGGCTGACACCGACAGTGAAGAACTTGGTGCCTTTGGGGGACTACTCATGGCTCTCAAAGACGTGAAGATCTACGTGATGATGTTGACCTTCACGGCTTATGTTGTCGGACTCAGCTTTAATGCTTTCTTCGTAAGTTGTTTCAGATCAAGATCCCATTGGGGGCCCTTTACTGACTCGTTTCACAGCCTACGCTCACTGGTACTCTCGGATTCGGATATGTCCCAACTTTGCTGATGAGCGCTCCTCCCTGGGTTTTCTCCTGTATTGTCTCGGTGATCAACGCATGGCATGCAGACAAAACACAAGAGAAAGTCTGGCACATCTTCGGCCCGATCGCCATGGGAGCGGTTGGTTTCGTCATCTGCATGGCCACCAACAACGTCGCAGCTCGCTACGTGGCTCTATTCCTGCAGGCTGGTTCTTATGCAGGGTTCATCGTATTCTACTCATGGATCAGTTCCTCATTCCCCCGTCCTCCTGCCAAGCGAGCCGTTGCCATTGCCATGATCAACGCCTTCAGTCAACTTGGCAACGTCGCTGGCTCGTACGTCTGGGACTTGGAAGATAATGGGTACCGCTCAAGCTACGGAATTGTGCTGGCTATGTTCGGTGTGACAGTCGGTGGATGCTGGTATTTCCGCTCGATGCTCGTCGGGTTGAACCACCAACTCGAGGAGGGTGAGCTTGCCGATGTTGCTAGAGGAGAGCCTACTGAGAACGATATCATCGATAGCCCAGACGAGTCGCTGCGTATGCGCAAAGGTTTCAGGTATCTAGTTTAAGTGTTCTCAGGTCTTTGTTAGAATACCATGCTCGGCACCGGAACTTAGGTTCATCAACAATTCAATTGCTCTTCAATGCAAATATGCAATTAGACGTCTCACATTTTCTATGTCAGGACTGTATTTTTCCCCGGTTAAAAATGGATATTCCGGGGTATAGTCTTTCTTGGTAGAACTACGACAAGGAGTATATTCTTTAATGGTAGATTCACCAAGAAGCTGTGCCGTAGGTACATAATCCATAATTTCCCAACCAGTTGGTGTCTCCGGGGATTTCGGAAGCTCTTATGTTATGTAGATTGGTCAAATTGTTCATTCCAGATGTGATCCGCCAGATTCTTTATGTCATGATGACTTATACTGAAACCTGTTTCATTTGGCCCTTTGGTTCTAGGGTGAATTTCTTCGAATGAGAGTTGAATGCTTCCTTGGAATTTCTTGCACTTTAGCGCCGGATTTCTTTATTTTCTCGAGAAAACGGGAAGATCAGCTCTATTATCCAATTCAATTCCTCTCTAACTCTAGTTCTATCGGTCTTCACGAGTCAACTTGACGTATTGGTTATTAGGATCCTGCTCCTCTTCCTCCGCCGATGGGACTGTCTTCTTCACGCGGCAAGGGGTGCCAACGGCGACCGAGAACGGCGGGATATCCTTGGTGACAACAGACCCGGCTCCAATCGTTGAGCCCTGGCCGATTCGCACACCAGGAAGAATAATCACGTTACTTCCAATCCAGCAGTCGTCTTCGATAAAGATCGGATGACCAAACTCGACGAACTTGCGGCGAGAAAGAATGCTGGTATCATGACCAGCAGTGATAATACTTACTCCAGTACCAATCTGCACACGGTCGCCGATGACCACTAGGCTGGTATCTAGTATAGTAACGCTGGGAATTGTTGGTCAGTTAAGATAGGCCATGGGGAGAAGGCAGACTCACTTCCAGTTGAAGAAGCAATCCTTTCCGATGACAGTATTGCAACCGTAGTCCGGCAAGAATGGTGGCTCGACGAATGTTCCATCTCCAACTCTGCCGACGAGTTTCCGCAATAACTCAAGACGTTTGTCGCCGATCTTGTCATATGTCACGGTTTTTGTATCCAGGTTGTTGAAGTCTGCGGTAAGTCCCCGGCACAGATGCCGTGCTTCTAACAGTTTCGGCACATTGGGGTTATACCTGAACAGTCAATAAACCATCTCATAAGGGTGTAAGTATATTGTGAATGATACATACATCATTCCAGATATCATACGATCATAGTCCTCGCACAAGGGCACTCCTGCCAATCCCCGAGCAAGCTCGATGATCTCAGGGCGTTTCTCAGTGGCAGCCATTTTGAAATATTATAATGTTTGATAAAAAGCATGAAAATAGGAATCATAGAATAAGTCAGGATAACACAATATATATACCTAGTTATGTTGTATGGACGAGGGGGGTAGTCACCAAGCGGGGTGATTTGCCGACAAATCGCCGCGGTTGAGGTGGAGCAACGCCAAGAGCTGGCGGGCCTTCCTATTTGGGTATAACAGCCAACCTTGGAATAACAGGTGCAATCACACATCAAACATGCGAATACGCCTCACAACCTCCTCGACATCCACCCAGATCCGCTGTCGATTCTGCAACCCCTTAAGTCTGTCCCTATTCAGTTGAATTTGTACAAGTACCTGACGCCAGTCAGTGTTCATTCGAGGCAATTTCACCTGGTCTGGCAAGATCACGGATAGAGGAAATCGGTGCTCAGCAACTCTCTCGGCGGCATGCTCTGTATAGTCATCCTCACACAAGGCTTTGGCATAGGTACTCCGTGCTCTGATAACAGACTTGATCTCAGCTGTCGTTACATTTGTCCAGAGTGAAGGACTGTGTTTGCATTCGGATTCATCCCAGGCTTCCCATAACCAGGGCATTTCCCTGCGTACTAGTCTGTACCACACACTGTTTGGGAGTTCAGTGAATGCCCTAGAAGCAATGCTTAAACTAGTGATATCACTAGACCGTAAATAATCAATAATTATGAGCTGAATTTCTGCCGGAAGGACGGAGAGAAAGTCGGCCTGGCCATTGTGAGATGGAGTACGGCGATTTGCCGGGGATTGAGACGACCTAGTCTCATCATATGAGTCATATGAGGCACCCAATCCTTCGTCCTTGACGGCGGAGAGAAGAATTTCCGGTAGTCCGGGCACATAAAGGGGATTGGAAACCAGATACTCGGTACCAGGCTTATGGGACCACCATTGCTCCTGTGAGGCTTTAACCTCCTTGGCTCGAGGAAATGATCCAAAGGCAGCCCAATCAAACTCGGCATTCCGCCAGGTCATCAGTCCGGAAACATTGATGCGCTGAAACTGGATTTTTGATTGTCGGTAGAAGATATCAAAGCACCACGGATGGAAGGGTATGGCTATATCATCTGGTGATGTGTCTTGCACCTTGCAATTGTCAGTGTCGAGTTGTGCGCCCGAGACGTTCCAAGAACGCATTTGGTAGATAAACCTACTCCAATGTCCACATTATCTGTCTCTACATCTTCTATCCCATTTCGCGCGGGCCACACTGTCGGGATGCCCGTATCACGCGATGGGGTTCCATCACATATCCCGGTTAAAGACCAATCCTCATCAATCTCCCAGGGCTCATGTAGCTGGTCAGCTTGCCATTGGTCCCTCGGTGCAGTTTTATGCACTATGAACTGGGCGGTGCGACAGCCTCTCGCCTCTTCGGGTGAGATAGCATCAGCCGAGTAGCCCGACATTGGACTATCAAAATATCCAACGCGCAGTTGGGGATCTCCCCTCGTGGCGCTTCTCGGGTCAAACGTTTGCAACACCCAATTGTAATATATTTGACGCTCGGAATCAGTATTTGCATCACTACTACTGCCTTCGCTGTCCTCCTTCTCATGCGCATCTTCGTCAAGGCTCATGCCGTCGGTAGATTCGTAATCAGAGTCATATTCATATGGATCATTCTCGTAATAATCCCTTTGGAATAGATAGTCAGGATCTTGAGCCGTGTCATCATCATCCACAGAATTAATTGGGTCTGTCGTATCGCATTGGCCGTCTTGAGGACCAGGTACGTCTAGCTCCCCAGATTTGAGGCGAAAGATGATATTGAAGCTCACACCACAGAAATGACAGTAGAACTAGAAAACTGTTAGATTCGTTGTGTACGTATAAAATGTAAGAAACTGTACCTCAGAGTAGCCTACACACCATTGTCAGTGATGTATCCACGGGATTAAGGTAACATAGATATCCACTTACCCATTATTTATTTTCTCTTCAATTGGCTAGCAAATTAGATGGTCTTGCTCTCCGCACTCTCCTTTCTATTAATTCAAACAAGAGAGAGAGAGAAGAAAAGGAGAATTGCAAAGTGGTCGGTTTTTCCTCGTATCTGCGGCCCCATTTTAGTTAGACTAGAGCGATCCTGACATCTCTGATTGGTCAATCTGAGATTATCTACCAAAAGGCCATATATGGTATTTAGAATGTTCGAATCTGCTAGGGATTTTGGGTATTGGAATCTCTTGTCGATCTGATATACCCTCAAGGGTAGTCCACGGACTTATTATGTACATTAACTTCATCGGCATCGAGCGTTTTGCGTCGGACAGCATCAACATCAAATGCAGCCTTGCTGTGAAATATAGTTTCCATCTCTTCAAGACTTTTTCCTTTTGTCTCTTTGACAAAGAAAAAGACAATGATCGCCATGATGATATCTAAGATTGCATAGAAAAGGAAAACATAACTGCCCCAGGAATTCATCATATAGCGAGTCACTAGGGAGAAAAGGAAGTTGAAAAGCCACTGTGTTGATACTGCGACCGAGGTTCCAATCTCCCGAATTCTTGTTGGAAAGATCTAGCATAACCTAATTAGTGGTTGAACTGAAGATAGACGGGGTATAACTTACCTCGGCAGTGTATGGCCATGGCAATGGCCCCCAACTGAATTGGTAGATTGAGTTCGTTAGGAAGATCATAGCTACCATGCCGATACCAGCTGGGGTTGCTTTTGCATCCGGCTCTGGCGTAGTTTCCTTGACGACTGTCACAATAATGAAGCACCCGGCCATCAACAGAGCTGAAATCCAAAGCGTCGGCCTCCGTCCCCACATCTCGGAGAAGAACAAGATATAAATTCCAACAGTGATGAACTTCTCGGCTCCAAAGAGGCCAGTGATGAGAAGGGACTGATTGGTATTGTTTCCGACTATCAGTTTGAAGAACTGCGGGCCAAAGTAAGCCAGCGCGGTCATGCCAGTGCACTGCTGACCGCAAAACATGAAAACGGCGAGAAGCAGTCTGTAGCGGTTTGCGGGCTCGAGGAGTTCGCGCTTATTAAAGCCCTCGGTTGCTCGTAACTCTTCCTCAAGTCCGACTCTGATTTCGTTGAACTCTGCCTTCACTTCAGAGCCTATTGACATGGATTGCTGGTTAGCCCTATGGCCCGATATGGTTTCCTAGGGGATGTTTCCTTCCTTACCTTCGCTAGCTCGCATCCATTTCAAGCTCTCCCATGCTTCGTCGAAACGGTCCTTCTTGGCCAACCAGCGTACACTTTCGGGCATACTAAAGAGGCCGAGTGCAAGAACTCCAGCGGGCACCATCTGGAGACCAACGGGAATCTGCCACTGCTTTGAAGACACAGGTAGTGTGATCTTGACGGCATAGTCAATCCAGTAGCTCAACATCACACCCAGTGCAAAGAACCATTGCATCCCTGACCCGAGCTTGCCGCGAATTTCTTTGGGTGCCATTTCAGCGTTGTATGCTGGGACCACCGCAGTGCCTGCACCGAGACCGAGACCAGCGACAAACCGCCCGATATAGAAACAAACAAGTGAGTGTGAAGGAACCACCTGCAACACCACGCCGAGACAGAACACGGTCATCGCTGCCTGGATTGTTTTCTTTCGCCCGTACCGTTCGGACACCCAGAAGATCCCCAAGGCTGATATGAATGCGCCTATATTTTGCAAGCTTACCATCACAGCACTTACGGTTGTCTGATCCTTGTAGCCAAAATCATTGATGTAGGACTTGAACTCGAGGATACCACCTATCCATCAAGGCTGTTAGTGATGATCACTAACCAAACGGGGCTTCTGTCTCACTTACCAACAATTCCAGTATCATATCCAAACAAGAAGCCGGCTGTACAGATGAAGTATCCAAAGAAATATGCTCGGAAGGCCCCGAGCCCGGTTCCTGGTAAGCCCATGCTGTGCGAGGTAGTACACACAGACTATGTTGTAGACGATGAAAGGACAGAATGAGAATCTTAAAAAGAAAGCTTGAGGCGCATCTCCATGCTTTTAAATATATCGGCTCCCCAATGCTTAATTACCCGATCCGCATTCCAGCTGAGATACAGCACGCAAACTGTAGTGTCGGATACGCCATAGCACGCCATACATGCCATATCACAGAGCGTTCTGTCTGTCGAACGTCAGAGGCCTAAGCTGAGCCAAGAATATGCCACAAAACGAGAGATGCCATGTGGACAATTTGAATGCCGGAATTTTCCTATAAACATGGTACATCCACTCAGTATGGTCTATAAAGATCTATGGCAATTCTAAGTTGAGCATTTTGCCAAGAAACTAACCCCCCTCCCCCGGATCACCCCTTTCGGCCTGTCGCTTCAGTCGTCTCGATCCGAATATCTATCCTATTAGAACATACAACATAGTCTATCAGATTCATTGTATTACGCATTTGCGTGAGAAATCACCGTAGGAAGGGAGGTAAGCAAAAAAAAAAACATACTCATTGGCCACAGCTTGAGACTAAGAAATCTTGTGCCGCTTTACACCTTCTGACATTAATCAGAACGCGCGTCTTCCACACCTTTTACCACATATGTCGAGGTCATATGTGAAGCTTATCGACCTGTACGGTGCGATTCAGAAAGGCTAAAATGGTCCCCGCGTCGTTTATTCCGTTGTATGGTTGCCACATAGTTCTAGTGGGCGATACCCCTTACCGCGAAGACTGTGGTGAGACTAGACCTCACGAAAGCCCACAAAGCCCACAAAGCCCGCAAAGCCCACAGCCCAACCCAACCCACCAAATAGGCTGGGTTTTGGGCTCATGCTTCGGGCCCATCGGTAGGCCATATGTCCGGAATGAAAGCTCATAGGGATAAACCAAACAATACAAATATGCCAATTTATCGTAGCTACATAGTTACCTGATGCACTTTGTCCTGGTTTCTTGGGGTTTACAGATTACTGTCTGAGCTATGACTATATGAAGCTATATCGAAATTTTCTTTCTCTTCTTCTTAAGGGATAGACGAAGTATAAAGGAGAGAGGAAGCAGGTATTGACAGAAAAAGCGATGATTATATCAATCACCTCTAGATAATATATATATCCATGGATATCTCTTCATGCTGATACTTAGTAGTCCTCCGAGGTACGAATTTCTACTGAATTCCTACTTCTTACCATAGAAATGGGCTTTGGTGTGCTTTGGTGGGCTTTGATGGGCCCCCATTGATGGGCTATCTTGACGTCTAGGTGAGACAGGGGTATACCGTACATCCATGGAGACTATATGTACATATAGTACATACATACATATGTAGGTAGACAGCTCCAGTATAGACATAGATATGGAAATATGGTCAACAAAGGTAAACAAAGAAAAGTCCCCTTATATTCATTCTACTTCTAAGCTAATGGGTATTTGCCAACTTTAGTTGACCACCAACCACTACCCTGTTGATCCTACGTACTCCTTCAGAGCATCTCAGTCAGGTTCTACAAGCCATCCATACCTTCTATGACCGAGTTGACCTACTGGATTCCTGGAACACACTCTGTAAGCTTCTTTGAAGAAGCTCGGTCTTTTGATATATAGAACAGGTATATGGTCACAAAGGATGTCTTTCATGGACCATGACCAACAAGGTATTCACACGAGACGATGTAATGAGACAGCTTTGAGATCACTGAGATAGCTAAAGATCTTCAAATATTAAACCTCTATCTCCAAGTAAAGCGTATCTATGTGATATAGAAGCCTAAGGTGGTTATTTTCTATCTCATTTTCTTCTTCAAACAACATTCACTCTTTCTCACTTCACCTTTTTCTCTCGCCTGTCACCCTCACTTCCTGTCCTTCTCTTACCCATCCTCTATATCTTCTCATCTCTCTCTCACCTTCTCCTTCTCTATCTCTTTCTCTCACACACATCGTCTTCGTCATTTGATCAGCAAAAGTAAAGCTAAATCCCCTTCCTACTAATTACCAAGCTAACCTGTGTTGTCCACTTTAGACCTCCAACCTCCAACATGTTTATCCCGCTTCCTCCTGCGATTCCCCCTCTAGCTGGTTCCCCGGTCGCTGCTTTGCAGCATCCGAACAATCATCTGCGAAAGCTTGGCGCCGCCTACAACCCAGAGCTTCCCATCAGCGCTGCCTTTAGACTTATTAGTCTGCAGCGAGGCTGGAAGCCAGGATCTAAGACCTGGAAAAGGAACTGGAATGCCTGCATGAATGACGAATATGATCGCCTGATTGGCTACCGTGTAGCCAACCTGGCAACATGGCAGGAGCTGTGTGACAAGATTGGCATCAACGATTCATTCACTTCCATCAAACAGTGCAAGAAGGTAAAGTCCCTGTCCCAGGCAATTTGATACCACCCGCTCACTATTATAGGCTCTGGTGCGTGTGCACGTCAACCTTGTTGATCTTCTTGATCTTTGGGACGCGGATCACACCCCAACTCGATTCAAAAACAAAACGGCCCTTGCAACATACACCGAGACACACAACAAGTTCTTCAGTCGTCATACCGCCAAACAGGACAAGGTCCTCCGAGTCCTTCTGCGAAAGCTTCTCTAAAGCCGCACAATGGTATGTCTCCTCGAAGACGTGGCATTCCTAGACGTGCACTAGGTGCAACTGGTACAGCTGGAACCAAGGAGATCATCTTGGGGTGCACAGATAGTATGAGAAATGAAACCAACATGTTCAATATTTTACCTTGTACTTTTAACTCTAGTATGCAGCGATTTTGAGAGTCTACCTAGGTACGTCCATGGTCTCGATTACATATTATCGCAATTTCCTCTTCAACTGCCCCTTGGATGTCACTTCCCAAGTGTAAATCAACTGTCACAACTTTCTTTTCAGATCATCAGGTATGTATTAATGCTTATTGACCTCAAGACATGCTAACAAAAATGATTACCGTCAAGCTCTTTTCCAATAGATCAAAGTGAGCATTCCTGTTTTTCCTACGTATGAAACACCGAGTATGATGCAAGCCTTTTTCCAGTGACGATGAAAGCCGGGATTTGGGCAAAAGTTATCTTTCATATATCACCATATATCTTCTAAATACATTTGATTCAATGTATCAAACATGTTGTAATCACTGGGTAGACAATTGGCCGAGAATGCAAAGCCTAGGTTGTTGATAAACAGCTCATCGGGGTTAGGGGCTGCCGCAAGTCCAATCACGCCATTATTGTTATGGTGATGACTCGCGTTACTCGAAGGAGGAACATCAAACCAATTAGAATTTGGAACTGGAGGGGCCAAACGGGTATCTTGAACATGCAAGTCTTTGGGGTTGGGCAGACCTTGGGATGGCTCAGTCGGGGCCAGGGGCCCTACATAGAGATCCACGTCTGCCGGTTGATATGCAGTTGTGCAAATGCCATTGCATTCCAATGGAGGGGCAGGCGGCATATGATCAATATCACAGTTCAGTCGTTCGCAATATAATTTCTCAAGATTCCGTCCGATGCGCTTTGCAATATCCCAGGACGTTGAGAGTTCCCGCAGAACCTGAAGGCAGAGCCCCACAGCTGCCTGTGGTGACGGGCCTCGTGAGGCCTGGTTGCCTGTACCAGATCCCATGGCGTAATCAACGCAGCATTTTTCTATGATGAGCGATGCCGCTGATAGCATGCAGTATGTGGCTGTTATAGGGCTCAGCTTGAAGCTGCCAAATGTCTGTCTATATTTCTGGGCCACAATGCACATTCCTCGGGCTGAGTTGCTGCATATTGTCGTAATTTTCTGTCTACAGGCAGACTCCGGATCATTGTTGTTGCTGTTCTGTTGTGTCTGTGGGTCAGTGTAGTTGCCGACATCTTGACTGGCAGACTGATTACTCAGAAATGGCACGCTAAGTAGAATGCACACAGTATGGTATACCATGCATAAAGTATAGGCGTGAGGAAATCGAGAGGGACCAGATGGACGGTCAACCTTAAGCTCTGGAGCAAGATCGTAGTACCATGTCTTGAGTTCAAGCACACAGGAATCAAAAAATGCAAAACGTTGTTTGGGTTGTAGGAGCGGCTTTGGAGACCAACTTGGTGATATATGTCAGTGGGAGAGATAGATGTGAGAAATGATACGATAGACTCACAATGAAAGGAGGACTTTCTCGAATATACGACACAGGTCAATCATTGCCCTATGCAACTGTACCACGTCTCTTTGAGAAGCAGCCCTTAATTGTCCATTGCCAGTTGCTGAAGGCAAATAGACATCCGAGGC